TGTATTTTTTTCGGAATTTTCGTAAGTGATAAAAAGGAGAATCATGGTTAAGGATACGATAATCATTGTTCCTTACAATAATTCCTTTATTTTTATGGCCATGCTCTCGTTTATTATTGAGATACAATACTAAGTTTATTATTCTACAACTATATTATCAATTCAATGGGATGATTTCTATAAATTAGAAACCTGGTAGTTATCGGTGCCGACCTCTAGATGCTTAATTACCATGCAAGTTAAATCGTTTTTTAGGAGCTCGTGGGTGAATGCTATCGGATAACACATGAATGGAACTCTCATGCTTTCTTGTTACACATGCGTGTAATACAAGATCGAGGTTTTGACAAGAGTTGAATTTCAATTAGTAAGTATTCAAGAAAATAGGGAACGGGGTTGGGGTTGCGTTGATAGCTTCCATTACCACCCATTCGAAAACTATTGATAAAAATGGGTCGGGGCTTGTAATCCGTACTAATCTACCTTAAAAAAAAAAAAATTCAAGAAACTAAAAGGAGGTCATCTTTTTTGCTAAATGGAGTTCTGGATCAACGATCAATTACTCAGTTTGGGCTTGAGACTTGTACCCGACTCGAGCCAAGTAACTTTGATGATTTCAAAAGAAAGGGATTGTATACAATAAGATTGTTTTCCTTTGGTATAGGAAAGTCACAATCAATGTAGAAAGAATAAGGCGGATGTTTTGTTTTTGGTGTCGAAATACAAATCTGTGATTTTGGCGTTACAGGATACCAAACTTCCAAGTCCTACTCTCTCTGGGGCTAGGGAAGTTTGGGGCTCAGGTACGGTTTGTTTCTGTGGGATTTATTTAGTAGGTAATTCAGGAGGTATTTGGGTTTTGTGGAACCCTCTAGTGGCCCAAAATTTTGAGACAGTTGTTAAAGACAATTCCTTACTTCTGGGTTCAATGGTCCTACTTTGGGGTTTTATGAATATTTATGGGCCTCTCTATTTCTTCTTTGAAATCTCCTTTTATCTTTGAGATGAATGAGTTGATTTGATCCTTCAATTATCCTGTGGTGATAGGGGGGGGGGATTTTAATTTTATTAGGTGGTCGAATGAGTCCTTTGTAGGGTACCCAATAAATACTTATATGAGGAATTTTAATTGCTTCATTGAGAGTAATTCTCTCAAGGATCCTCCTATTATTGGATCTAAGTTTACCTAATCCAATAATAGTATTGCTATTTTGGCGATGTCTAAGTTAGACAGGTTTTTGTTGGCTTCGGAGTGACTGGAGGCATTTCCGTTTGTCTCAATAAAAGCCCTGGCGAGGTTGTCATCTGATCACCTCCCCATTTTACTAAATACGGGGTCCCTCAAGGGTGGGCCTAAACCTTTTAGATTCGAGGTTCGCTGGTTAAAAAATATAGAGGTGGTTGAGCTTATTAAAAAGACCTGGTCGAATACTGTGGTGGTGGGTTCTATGGATTTTCAATTACATAAAAAATCGGTAAGCGTCAAACACAAATTGCTTGGTTGGAAGAAAGATAATAAGTTTGATCTTAAAGTTAAGATTGAGGGGGTCTTAGCTGAGATTAAATTGCTAGATCTTAATGCCCATACAAGTGGAGTCTTAACAAAGCAATTTGTGGAGGAACGTGCCGTTAAACTTAAGGAGTTAGAGGATTTGAAAAGATCTGAGAAAATCTATTGGAAACAAAGATCTAGGAATAAATGGTTGAAGGAAGGTGATCTCAACACTAAGTTTTTTCATGCCATTGTTAGTGCCAGAAGAAGATAGAATGATACTTCAAGTTTGACTATCCCTAAGTTAGATCTTGAGGATACTGCTGCCATGGAAGTGGGTGTCATTAATCATTTTAAGAAAGCTTTTGCTAAAGAGGTGGTGATGACACCAAGTTTTCTGAATGTTCTATTTAAGATACTAAATGAAAAGCAGAGATGTTTTTTTGGAACGAGAGATCACTGTCTAGGAGCTTCAACATGCTGTTTTTGCTTTGCCTGGTGATAAGGCGTTGGGCCCAGATGGTTTTCTTTTGGCTTTTTTCAAAAATTTTGGAATCTAACCAAAGATGATTTGCTGGCGGTCATTAAAGAGTTTATAATCAGAGGTCAAATTTTTAAGGGCATCAATTCTACTTTCTTAGCATTGATATCTAAAAAATCAGTGATCAATGAGCTCTCAGATATTAGGCCTATAAGTTTGCTCACAAGTTTTTACAAGATTATAGCTAAGGTTTTGGCGGAACGGCTCAAGGAAGTCCTTCCTCTCATTATTTCAACTACACAGACTGCCTTTATTCAGGATCATCAAGTTACTGACATTATGTTGGTGGCTCACGAATGTATTCATTCGTGAGTTTTGAGTAAAACGGCAGGCATTATGCTAAAACTTGATATGGAAAAGGCTTACGATACGGTGGAGTGGGGTGTACTGCTAGTGATTATGAAAAATATGGGCTTTGGAGCCCAATGGAAGAGTTGGATTTTTGGATGTCTATTTTCTGCACATTTCTATGTATTTTTCAAAGGTAGCCCGATTGGATTTTTTACTTAAACTAGAGGTTTATGTCAAGGTGACCCCTTTTCTGCTTTCTTATTCACGATTTACGCCAAATGTTTTAGTTTAATGCTTAGCAGGGTGGAGAATGCGAGGGCTTTTGCGGGTTTTTAAATTGTAAACTCAGATATATATGTCTCTCATTTACAGTACGTTGATGATACTTTAATTTTAATTGATGCTGAGACAATACAAGTGAGGAATGTGGTGAGATTTTTGGAGATTTGTGAAGTTACTTTGGGGCTTAAAGTTAATTTTCATAAGTCTTCAATAGTGGGAATTAACTGTAGCGAGTCAATGGTGTGTGAATTGACTAATGTGATGGGCTGTAAAGTGGATTCTTTTCCTATTACCTATCCGGGACTTTCGCTTTTGTACTCAAAATTTTCTATTGCAGTTTGGGATAGGGTAATTTAGATAATACAAGTCAAGCTTGATATGTGGAAGCATAAATATTTGTCTCTAGGGGAAAGGATAACGATGTTAAGGTCCTGCTTGGCGAATCTGCCTGTGTATCAAATGTCGATCATTCATATTCCAGCATCGGTTGCAAAAAGAATTGAGAAGATGATGAGATATTTCCTTTGGGGTTCGAGTGGAGAAAGTAGGAAACATCATTTATTAAGATAGGATAGAGTTTGTACAACTAAGTGTGAAGGTGGTTTGGGAATTCGAAATGTTATGAAGTTTAACCAGGCCTTGTTATGCAAATAGTGGTGGCGTAGTTTACATTTGAAGGATCATATTTGGTATCAAGTTCTTTAGACAAAGTATGGGATGAATAGATTCAATATGTGGCTTGGGGGTGGTAAAGGAAAGGAGGTGTCTTATGTGTGGCAGGCGTTCTCGAATTGCAGGACTATGATTGCAAGCTATTTTAGATGGAATGTGGGTGGGGGTAGTCAAATCTTATTTTAGCACCATAAATAGCTGGGGGAGTATCTTCTGTAATCTGTTTTCCTGGATCTTTTTAGGGTAGTGTCCAATCCTTATCATAAATTTTGTGATGTTGTTGAGAGAAGAGGTCAGTTGGTTTCGTGGGATATACCCCTTATGTATAGATGGTTGAACAATGTCTTGTTGTCTCAGTGGTGTGCTTTGATGGAGCTTTTGGATAAAGCCTATATTTCTCAAGGGGTAGAAGATATGTCGGTTTGGGAAATTGAAAGGGATGGTGTGTTCTCAGTTAAATCCTACTGTAATTTTTTTCCCATGACCGATAGAGATGATTTTCTCTCAAGATTGTGCAAATTTGCAAAAAAAGGGGCAAGATTCTACTTAATGTTTGTTTGCTTTGTAAATCGAATGGTGAGTCAGTTGACCATATGCTGATCCACTACCCCTATACCTTGAGGATATGGCATTGGTTAATTGGTGCAGTAGGTTTTTCGGTAGCGTTGCCTCAGCGAGTTAGTGGGATAGTCTCGCAATTTGGAATTCCATTTCTTCCCAAGGTTGGAAGTACAATTTGGAAGATAACAAAAGGTATGATACTTTGGGAAGTATGGAAGGAGAGAAATAGAAGAATCTTTGAGGGTGTGGCACTGCCAGTTGACAAGCTTATTCATTTAATTAAGCTCTCTATTTGGCCTTCTCTTTCTGTGGCCAAGGATGGGTGGGGTATTACTAAGGTGGATGTTATGATAAATCTGCCCAAACTTTTTTCTTTGGGTTCAGTCTCTAGTATACCTAAAGGATTGTGGCATGCCCCGTCTATGGGTAGTTTTAAGTTAAACTTTGATGGCAGTTCGTTGGGGAATCCGAGACCAGCAGGTAATGGTGGTGTAGTTCGAGATTGCTATAGAAATGTTATGTTTTCATATGATGGCCCAATCAATGTAGCTAATGGCTAATTGCACGAAACTTAATGCTTTATTAAGGAGTGTGGAAATTTTCATTCGGAGAAATTTGGGTACTAATTGCTTGATTGAAGGACATTCTTTAAATTCTCTTAGATGATGTAAGAAGGAACAGAAGGTTCCATGGGAACTGCGATCCTTATGATTGCAGATTTTAGATGCAGTAACCAACTTATCGGTTTCTTTCTCCCATGTTTATCAAGAAGCAAATGGCATTGCTGATGCAATGGCCAAAGGTGATGTTAATCTTTCTTTTTTTACTTTTTCTCACGATATAATTCCCTTTTAGTATATTAATAAAGAGTACGAATATTTGTCAAAAAAAATTCTAACCGTCCGGTTTTAGTTGGTTTTGGTGAAATGGCTTGGTATTTCAAACAAATTCAAAAAAATAAATAAAATCCCAAAAACTAAGGGATTTTGTTTGTAATGTATTTTTTAATGTTTTTATCATTTTGACAAAGATTGAAAATTATTATGGCCATTTTTACATATTTCCCATCTTTTGAGAAAATTTTAAAAATACCCTTGGGCACGAATTTATTCTTTAATTTTAAAGTGTTTTTAACTTCATTTGGATGTTTTGTTTAATCATGCTTTAAATATATATTTTTATATTTTATTAGATTTTTTATTTTATTTTTTTTTTAACACTTTTTTGGCTGCCCAAGACTTGCCCACTTGAACCACTTCTGACCCCATGTCCGATTAATCGGTTCGATTTTTCCTACATTGGTTACAATTACTTATAACCATCCGATGTGAAATTTGATAGCTTGAGTGTGTAACACAGTTAGATAAAATTTCTTTTGAATTTTGAGCATAGTCAATGAAATATATGTAGCCACCCAATTTGACATCCAATAGTTAAGATTAATTGTGCCACCTTTAATAAAAAAGGAAAAGTTTATATAGAGCCGAGGCTTTAATCAATCAAATTTGAGCCTAACTAAAAAAATTTCACTAGAAGAGGTTATTTTGATGCCTAAATATCCTCAAATGGATCATCTCAACATCAAGATGCATGGACATTAGGAAAAAATGGATTTCAAGTTTTGGAAATAGTGTATTTTGTAACGCATTTTTGGACCGTCAATTTTCAAGATTTTATAGATTTGTCGATCTATGCTATTATTTAATCTTTAAATTTTATAAATATATATGAAAATATATTTTGAGGCTATCACAAAGATTTCTATTATTGAAACCACATTTCTCGACACTATTTGAAGGTAGGCTCTAATTTGATTGTTTAGAACCTAAGCTCTATGCAAACCTCACCCTTAATAATTTCAAAGGTAAATGGTCTCATTATATACTTCCCTAAAAAAAACTTCCCCAATAAGAATTTTTTTTTTCTAGGAAGTGGTAGTGTAGTACACACACTCTTTTTAGATATTATGGGTTATGGTCATGTCAGTCCCTTGGGAGCTCAAAATCAAGTGCACTTTTAAACTTCCACGAAAAAAAATACAGCGAATACAACGAAGGGTACGGTTTGTATAGAACAGAGGCTCTAAACGATCAAAGTAAAGCTCACCTTTAAATAGTGTCAAAAAATGTAGTTTCTAAAAATATTTGTGATAGCCTTAAAATATATTTTCATCTTCAATTATAAAATGTAAATCTTTAAAAATAATGTAGATCCTATTTTTTTTCTCATGTCTATACATCTTGATGTTGAAATGATTAATTTGAAGATGTTTAAGCATCAAAACAACCTCTTCTAAGAGATGGGCTTTGATTGTTTAGGGCTTCGGCTATATATAAACGTATCCCATAAATTAAAACGTGCCATAGCCCAAAAACGTTAAAAAATCGTGGACGTGCAACGTTAACAAATAAAAATCGTGGACGGCAGGATTCGAACCTGCGCGGGCGAAGCCCACATGATTTCTAGTCATGCCCGATAACCACTCCGGCACGTCCACTTATTATATTGCTCATGCCCAATATAAATTCTTATACCTAATTAGAGAATGACCTCAAGGTTATTGTTTTCCCTGAAAAGATAACATTGTATTAGAAAAATGTTCTCATACAACAACGGTTATAAACCAAAACTAAAAAATCAGTCAGTGTTTTGGAATTGCTAAGAACACAATAAGGATAAAACTATGCAAATCTATGCTCGGGAACTCAATCATCAAGACTGCAAAAGAGTTAGATTTGGGTACCTAAAAATGCGCCATCTTCTATGTTCTTCCTACATTTGATCTGGACTGTCATTTCCAACTTTTCGCCTACTTCCAATACTTTTGAAATCAGACCACTAATGTCAGTAGTTTTTTTTAGAACGAAAATACTACCTATAGCCCACAATAATCTCATCCCCCCTTGTTTTTTTTTTTTAATGAAACTTGTCCAACAAATAGCATGCCGGACTATGTGTTGGACTAGCTTTTGGACTCTAGTGAAGCTACAATGAAGCTGTCTGGCTTCTGGCCCATTTTGAAGCCGATCCAGCATAATATGTGTCAGATTTGGTCCCTATTGGAGTTAATCCCGTAAAAATTGTGTTGGACCAGTTTTGTCCTTTTTTGTTCTTTTTCTTCTTTTTTTTTATCCTTTTTTTTTTTGAGATATGCATTTTAAGGAGCATTTTTACCCTAAAAAAAAATATGATTTTCTTACTTGGACGGGGGTGCAAAAAAAAATTTACAAACATGTACTGGAGTGAATGATTTTTAAAAATAACTACTTCATGGATAAATTGGACAACTATAACCACCTCATTGATTGATTGGCCTCTTTAATGATATTTTCTCCGGACATTGGTCATGGTAGGATTCGGGCTTTATGCGCTGTTAATTAGTGTCATCACTAGTCAATCACTGGATGTTACAGAGTAACAGTGGGACCTTACCACTTAGATCATGTCCTGTTCTGGAGAGTCCTCAACCCTCCATTGCCATCCATCCTTTGATTGGATAGCGATAACATTGTTGAATATATTTTTCTCCATGGTCATAGAGATCATATTTGTTGGCCCTTAATATACTTTACCTTAATCTATTTGCTAACTTTAACAATGTTTTTTTTGTTATGGGCAAGCTTTTTATGCTTCCCCTACAACATAGAAGTTCTATGCTCCCCTTTATCCAACCATCTGTTCTGAATGGAGGGGTAAGATTGCCCCAATCACAATGTCATATCTCTCCACTATTTTATTTTAAATTTTTTTATAAACTATTTTGACACCAAATTTTGGATGTCTATTCCACTGTTAAACTCGCACAAGCAAAAAATATAAAAAAATATTTTTAATAAAATAAAATGACCAAATTACCTCTAAAAGTTTCAAGGCGTATTTTGGTCATTATATTTTATCTAAAAATTATTTTAAATATTTTTTATAGGTGCACCCCAATGAGAAGATGGCACGTACCAAATTCATATTCATACAATAAATAAAAATAAAATACTTTGAGACGTCAGATCTAAGATCAAACAGTGAGTGGCTCTCTTGATCAAAATTGGACGGCTGGATGGTAAAGGAGAATAGAACTTCTATAATGTAGTGGAAACATAGAAACCTTTCCCTTTTGTTATTGCACCCAAAAAAACTTGGGTACGATAATATCAAACTGCAAAGTAGAGCATATATACATATGTAATAGGAGCCAAAGCAAAAACCCTAAAGAAAACTGTGATTCCCTTATTCATTATAGTAAACCCTTCATAGAAAAAATATACAATAAAACTATCTACTTTTAGTACAAGAAAGGTCACTCGTTGATTGTTAGATGTGGAATGGAGTGGCTAAAGGTATTGTCATTAAAAAGGACACAAAGTCCAAAATAGAATTTTTTTGACTTTGTGACACAACCCAAACCATCAAGTTTCACATCCACTGGCTAGAACTGATGGTGACCTCAGTATACTTGAAAGTAGGTCTTATAATATACAATCCCTTAATTTATTCTCACTAACTCAAGCTAAAAAAAAAAATCTTTCTTAATTTTTGATAACTGCATTACAAAATTAAGTACGAAACCATTCTCGTCACTAAAGAAGATACCAGCAAAAAGTCAAAAAACAGAAAAATGGCTCTCCCATTTGGTTTTTATAAAACCTGATTTTTTTATTCCACCTTAGCTTAGTAAGGAGCTAGTTTCCGTTTCTTTTTTCCCTTAATATGTAATACGTGCTCATCTTGAAGAAGTGCTCATCTTGAAGAAGAAGAACTGTAAAAAGAAAACCAGTTATGTTCTATCATTTTCTTTCATGCTAACTGTTTTAAAATTTAAAAAATAGTTAGATTATCTTTCCAGTATTTTTCTTGAACTTCAAATCTGTTGGCTACATTTCTCTGGCATTTGGATATGTTTTGAGTTTGTTGTTCTTGATCATTCTTGGCTACAAATATGGCTATAGTGGGTCACGAAGAGTGGTACTTTATCTCCTCTATAACAGAAGATTCCTAAAGGATTCGGCCAACCTACGTGATCAGTGAGAGTCACTGGAAATCGATAGACATAAAAAAGATGATTGCAATAAAGACATAATGCCATGTTTGCTAAGGCCATCAGCTAATATTATTTAAATATTTTGATAATACAATCGGTTGTTCAGGGCTATCAACATAAAATAAGCGTTTAGAATGAAACATGGAGCTCTATGTTGCTAACGCTCTATAGGGATATTTTCATAATCCGAAAGTGTCACGTTATTAATCTTGAATAATGAGGGGTATCTTGATCATTTCCTCGGGAGAATTACCAAATGCTTTTGTAGGGTTCTCGGGACCCCTAGCTTGTGAACTGGGAATCCCAATTGTTAGGATCCCACCCAAGATCGTGTACTTGATTGGCTACATACAAAGTAGATGAATACAACTATAAACCGGGTACGAGAAGTAAAAAAAAAAAAAAAACCTAAAAAACAACACTACTACAACACGTGGTTCACCCCGTAAAGTTACATTTATGGCCTTGGCAAGTCAAAATCTACTATCACAATGAAAATACAATTTTGAGTTAGAAGAGATCATACATTTCTCTAAACATTAGTAAAAAATCATCACCGATCTTCTTTTT